CTGATAGCTTCACATGTTATACTCTTCTGTACAGGACAACAAGGAACTCCCTTAACTGCTTACCTCCAAGGAGAGTTCACCCGGTGCCTGGGCAACGTATCTCTTAATAACGTGGGCAGCAGCAATAGCTGGGATATTAAGAGATGACTCCTCACGGACCAGCAGGGGCTTCCCATTGTTCTCAGCCTGAAACAGAGAGCACAGGCCATGGTGAGGAGCTGAGGGCAAACGAGGAGGATTTCAGGCTGAGGAGCACGTCAGCAGAGAAAGCTGCAGGAACTGCACTCGGTCCTTATCATGGGCACACAAGAAGGAACGGCAAGGCTAAGAACATGCCCGCAGCAAGGAAAGAAAGCCTTTAAGGCAGCTTTTCAGTGACACCGATAGAGCTGCAAGGATTCGCTCTCTCTTGAAAAGCAGGAGAGCACATCTGCAGCTCACTCTGCTGGCTCAAATCAGGGAACAAAGACCAATCAGAGCTCCGTACTCTACCTCCATCCGTGTCATGTCAGGCCCACAGCTGATCTCACTGCACGCGACGCCCATCACAGCAGGCACGACAAGCTGGAACTGAAGAGAAACACGCTCATATTTTCTCTCTTCACACACCACAGTATTGAGAGACTACTGGAGAACTACCCTTGGCTATCCTCTGGCACAGGCAGGTGCTCTAGAAGCAACCACTCTGTTCACTCCGTTCAAATGCGACAGCCCATTAGGCAGCATTTGACCAAGCGGCTATCCCTCTGCTAGCAGATGGGGACTGGCACAAAGCAGCAGATGCATTCGCCCAGGGCACTCTGACAGCGCAGCAGCAGGGCAGTGAGAGGAATCATTGCTGCAGGTGCATCTGCTCCCCGGCCACGGCTCCCAGCAGCCTCACCACCGGCACCTGCTGCAGCCCCGCACATCAAGGACATTTCCTTGATTGCATCTCTGCTGTGCTCCCTACAGCTGCCACGCACACTCACACAGCCCAAGCGTGCGTGCTTATGACCTTGGGTCACACTGTGCAGCTCGGCACAAACTGGGCCTAGGACTCTTTGCCTAAGGGATCGGTTTCCTTCAGACCAGCTGGTCACAGCACCACACACAGCATCCTTCTGAGGACGGAGCTGCAGGGGAAGGGAAAAAACCCACACGGGACCAGTGTCCCATCAAAGCTGAGTGAGGCTGTGTTTCCAAACATGGTGCAACACAGTGCTGGTCAACCACATGGGGGGACAAAGCGTGGCACGTACCTGGCAGGAGATCAGAACAAGGTAGACAGTTCCTTGAACTCGCAGCTGTTTCTTGTCACTTTGCTCTGTTCTTCCACGAGCGAAAGCTGCACCAAGGGAGCGGGTAGAGGAGAGAGAAGGAACAGGTCTGTGAGCTTGCATAATGTAGCAAAGATGACAAGGGAAAAACCATGGGACAAATGCCATCTTTGTGGATCGCTTGGGAATGCAGATACTGGGTGAAAGTTACGTCTGATGGACAAGAGTAAGCAGTATGAGCTGCTAGGAGCTCCACCAGCCAGCAGTTCTCAACACCTCACTGCCCACCCGTCCATCCCATGCCGTCTCAGCTTACCTACAAGATGCTGCACAAGACACAAGGGGTGAAAACGAAGGCACTCAGTCGCTGCACAAGGGCAACAAGCGAGCTACTCACGCAGAGCTCAAGCGCTCCAATGAAGGGACGCAGCACGCACTGCTCCTCCCCTCATTCCAGCCGCTTGTGACATCACTAAGGGCCACCAGGCTGCTCCGCCATGACAACAGGGTGGGGAGGCAAGACCATGTCACAGGACCAGAAGATTCCAACA